GTCGACGCGTACACTGGCCCAAGTGGCGGCCGTAATTTGTTAACTGATGATTTCGTGATTAACATTATTTAGTACTTTCTACTTATTTAAGCAGGTTATAGTGGTTATTTTTCATATAAATTCCTCTTTTTTGGATTCGTTGTGGCAGTAGTCATTTCTCCCGCTACTAATCCTTTTGATTTCTCAACGCAAATGAATCTTTTTAGATGTCCTACACCAGTTGTCACAGTCTATCGTGAATCTTACCTGAACCGGTTTGAGATTGCTTTCATTTCTTCTCCTGTTTCTTATCATTTACAGGGGAAGAGACGGTGGTGTACTTTTCTCTGCTAACATTGCTACGAAAACAATCTTGTGTGTCGATTAGTACTTGCTGTTGAAGCTGAGTGGTGGAGCATTGGCTCAAGACGCAACTTAGGGATAATGAGTCACTTTTCTGCTACGTCAACCTAGGCGACGGTTTGATATCACTGGCTCTCGATGCACCATAAGCGTGCTGCACGGAAGACCGTACCAGTACAGAACTTAAAAAATAAATAAAATTAAAAGACACAAAAATGTTAGAAATGAAAAAGACAATATTAACAAAAACGAAAAACAACAAATTAAAACTCTGAAATCTCACTGAGACACCAGCTACGTAACAGTGTGAAGACACCAAGAATAGTGTTTAGAGATGGAAACAGGAGTGATACAGGATGCCTTCGTATTGTCAGCAGTGACATTCCTAATTCTGGTGAGCTACATTATGCGGCAGGCTATGTGGAAAGCCAGGAGACAGGTATACGCTGGACCATCGGTGGGAAGACTGTTGAAAACCTTGAGTTCACGCGTGCATGATTCATGTCTAATGTCACTAAAACTCGAAGACTTTCAAGCGAAAACCATCAAACTGGCTGAGGAGGCTGTCTGGCAACAAAGACTCGCCTACAGGTGGACAGAGGTGGTGAAGATAACGAATTAACAGCAGCAGCAACAAACACCAACGCGAATCACCATAAACGGGAGAGACTTAACATTGGTTACCTCCTTCACTTATCTAGGAAGCATCGTCTCAACTACAGGCAGAACGAATGCAGATTTCAAAGCCAGCCATCCAGAATCGGAAAGCGGGATTCACAGTCCTCAACCTGAAATCATTTTGGAAATCTTCGGAAGTCAGCCAAATTAAAGAACGAGATTACATTTTTCAGCATCAGTGTTAGGTCAGTCCCTATAAACGGTTAAGAAACTTGCACTATATGTAACGAAGAGGATTGCTAACAAGTTGCAGACTGTTGCTGCTTTCTGTGACTCCATAATGAAGATCAAATGGCCAGAGAGAATAATTGACGAGAAACCAACCAAAAGCCTATTACTCAACAAATGTGCAGGAGCAAATGGCGAGGGACCGAGCATTGGCTGAAGAGAATGTCGAAAGACACCGCGCTTAGTGTAGGCCATCATCTAGCTAGAATCCAAATGGAAAGTGACGAGTGGGTCGTCAGTGTTAGGGTGACATGGAGAAGATAGTGTGAGACGGAGATGAGAGATTGTAGGCGATCGCGAACCCAACTAATGAGGATGACGCAGAAAAGAACACACCGGAAAGGTGTTGTTGAAGCATTAATTTCCACTAGGAGCTCAAGGGAATTCTTATGAAAAATTCGGATGGTTATGTCTCATATGAGACATAAGTTTCTAGTGAACATGACTATCTTTAACGTCATATTGAAGAAGTAATACAAACAAACTAGCGCATTGATTCCATAGTGAATTTCAAGACAGTACGACTTCACATTTACTTTAAACCATTCGCTTTATGTATGAAACACTCAATTGGTTAGTTCTGCATCAAGTTATTCAAGTAAATGTTAATTCTTCCTAATTATTTCTTACTCACGTTTACCAACATAAAACGTTCCACGCAAATATATTCACTAGATTGAAGGTGCGTTAGATTACCTGACGAATTTCTCACTACAGTCACTACATGCAAGTTTAGAACAGTCTAACTCTATGTAGCATGCAGTTTCTCACTTATGTGATACATGAATTAGGGTAGACAGTTTGCAGCGGCTCTTAGTTGTAACATGAAGTTTTCTTTTCACATATAGGCTCCTTGTAAAGCTTATTCCACTTGTAACAAATATAACCAAAAATGTGGCAATTGTTCAACAAGCATCTCGCGTTCACTGGTGAGAACTTGAAGATTACCTCGACAGTCATGAAGCTCCAGTCCCCATCTGTATACACTATGCTTGGTGTCTTCACACTATTATGTAGCTTGTGTCAGTCGACTCAATGACTTCCACAGACAGATACTAATGTGGTGACACTTAAGGAATATACACATATGATCACATGAATTATCGAAAAGACGGTTGCAGCAAAGAATATTTTCTTTTCGACGAAGTCGAATCACCACAGCTCATCTCATCTCATCTGAATTCATTTTCATTCATCCTTCCATGCATCCATCAGAAAACTGACGAACATGCATCCTCAGTGAGACTGAGATACATCAGAATTCACCGAGGCAGTAGCGCATCACTGACATATCCCTTCTACTTCATTAGACTTTGTCTAATCGTCAAATGCAAAGTCATGAATTCTACTATCAGCTTAGCTTTCTCGTCTGATAGGTTGCAACCACCACCTTGTTTACCTGAGGTGACAGTGAAGTATTAAAATCCACTGAAGTCCCAAATCACAATAATAATTAAGTAGTCATGGTACATTTGAGGAGATTAGAGCATATGCATACACTGTGGTGCAGTACAGTTGGATTCCACCATATAAGGAAGATATTCATTCGATGATACAAGTGCACAGTAAGTAATTCATTATTACTGTGTCAGTGTTTGATTTTATCAAACACACGGTTCTCCTATCATGGAATATTCAGTGGTGATACAGACTTGACTGGAAGAAATCAATGCCTCCTTCAGTCAGCACTGACAATCATTACTCGACCACTCTTGTCATTCATTTCCCTACTCACTGTATGGACTGATTATCTGACTGCTGGACTGCCTGACTCACCCCTGAATCATTGACTCTTGACTTTTATTCACTGTGTTCCAGAAATATCCATCGGTATATGAAGGCCGAAAACAAGCACGCAATTTCATCAACACTAGGAAACCTTGGGAACAAACACATTTCTATCATCACTTAAAAGCATTATCAGCTCTCACCCTCTTGCACTTTCGCTCTCTTTATTGCTCGCTCGCTTTCTCTATCCCTCAATCTGACATGAGCAGCTTGATGATGATGAAAAGCATGCAACCAACAATCACTTGATTATGAACACATGGGAATTTTGACTTATCCACATATGCCTGCAATCATCATCCGATTAACACTCAACTCATCCATTCATTAATTCGACAGATTGATCATCATACTACTGACACATATAAATACACACATGCACACACCTAGACAGACAAACGGACAGACAGCCAGAGAGACACACTCACGAACTCGCTGAAGCATAACCTGTGACATGAAAGATTTCGCAAGTATCATCGTGTCAAAGTGTTTTGAGATTTTGACTGACACGAACGAGAGTCGTGTTTCACGATTGAAAATCGTACGAACGCTTTGATTTGCTCACGGTCTAGTTTTCGACAGCATATGTCGCTTTATATAGGAGTTGGCGTTTCTGTAAATGGTCTGTGATATAACAGACCAACCAATTTGTTTCGTACACCATTCAGAATGTTGTTAACAAAGTTTGCTTCTCACTGTTTTTGCCTTAATCCGACTTCATTTTAGTATAAACGACATTCAAGTTAAACCCCTTGTCCTACAAGAAACATCTCAGACATTTGAATAACGTTTTGAAATTCAATGCTATTTTGAACGTATTTCAGTAATTAGGAATTTTATCATTGTGGAAATAAGAGCTCTCAAAACTTATTTTTGACTTATCTACAGGGCCTTAAATTCCGTCATTCTCAGACCATGATATTTCTTCATATCATGAATGACGAAATTTCTGTTTTCAAATGAAGCATAATGTGTTTTAGAATTTACATTCAATATATTATATTGTAGTCTGCGGTTAGCAAAATAACCTATAAACAACCAACCCATGTGTTATCAATCTCCCCGTGAGTAGAACTTCACAAATCACCTTTGACATCGTATTTCATGGAAATCCACGTAACAAATAACTTGAAAATATTGCGTTGATGGGATTTCTTTGTGCGTATATGTACCTTGTAGTCATTGACATGTAATAACACATTTCCTCATTGACTCCTCGATACACTTCGTCAGTCAAAACAACAATCTTCGAGTTGTCGCATGTGTTAGGCCTTTTTGTTCTTATTAGCTACTTCAGTCTGACACATAACATTCCACTAGAAAGACAGAAAATGCCAACTGGAACAAGATCTTACGAAGGAAAATATTATATTTAATTAAACAAAGAAGAGATAAGAAAACAACGTATTTCCTTCACCAATATTGCTTCAATTTCCTTGGAATCGAATTCATTTTCCTGCAGCTGAAACAAAATGAAACCAGAAACAGAGTAAAACTGAGTTGAAAATAGACACGTATCGTGTAAAGCAGAAAATATTATCGACAGTTTTCATCTAACTGACTATCACAATAATCCTTAGGCAATACTTTCAGTGAATATTGAAACACAGAATAATTGTGTACATTATCTGCTTGATTCCAAGTTAAAATTCCCCTCACAGGAAATGAGCTAAGCAGAGTACCATCTGAATTTAAGATGTTATCAACAGTTGTTACAACCCTGATATTAGGTGCAGCAGGCGACTGGGATCATGTGGCTGGTCAGTGAGTAGCTCAGCCATCATGCGCCTGTTCACTGATGAGTATTCGAGAAATGCGAGTTAACAGAAGTTCATTGGTACTTGGTTCTCAAGGATTCATCTAGCTTATTTCAGCTAACCACGAAATCCATCTTCAAGTTCATATCCACTTGTGCAGTTGGTTAGCAATTAAAAACACGCTGAGGATATAAGTAGGAACTTACTTCAATAAAACTGCTTGGCATCTTCCTTCATTTCAGTCAGGAGCAACTTTATTCTATCTTCTAGGGTTTGAACTAGACAGTTGTAAATCATTTCAATATTTCAACTTACACTTGAAAAATTCAATCCTCTTCATTTCCAATAGTTTTATTTTCTCACCTAGTTCCTCTAAAACGGTGAATAGATTGTCAATGACGCATTATTACCATTTTTAATGCTACTTCGCAACAATATGAAATGAAGCATAAATCTCACTTTGCTCGATCATGTCATGTAGTCTCCATGTAACTGTTATTCTGAACTTTACAACGTGTAACATAAATTTTTATGGCTTTATTGCATGATGCATGGATGAAGTCACTGAAGTTTCATCGGAGTAGTTTCGCATTTCATGGTAATATGAAATTAACTCTATATGAGCAGTAAATGTGACGCTTTTGTGCATATCTATTTAAGACTGAATTGTCAACAACAATAATACTGCTGATTTTATCAACAATACAGCCTAATTTGGTATAAGTGAATACGATAACTTGATAATATACACATCATTAGCCATGTAGGCTACTTTTGTCTCTTACGAAAATGAAATTCACTGAGAGGTGCATTCATCTCTAGAACTATGAAATATCACATGTGATCAAATCAAATAACCACGTAAAATTACTTGTGCCGATGGCAAAATTAATACGAGCCTTCTGATACACTTCGTTTACTCTAGCAGCATACAATATGTCTGAAATGAATAATAACTGGTTATCAAACTCAGATTCGCTTGCGTACTCGAAATTATTGAAGGGAAGTACTTCATACAAATACATTCAATGTGTAATGAGATATGCGTAATTAATTGGTGCACTTTGTATTTTCAATTGGTGAGTAAACTCTTACTTTCACTTATCGTTTGGTAGGTCTGTTGTCTTTACCTTCACATGATCTTCAAACTAAAGATCTTCAAGAACGAGTCACTGTCTATTCAAAATACCATGCGTTGTTCTGTTCATAATTTATTCGATGTTTGCTTGTTGACGATCAAAATTTAATTATTTCTGACAACCAGCTAGTAACGGTGATCCAATTATGATGATGTCATTCTCCGTTAAACATGAATTTCTGAAGTTCCTTGTTGTAGTAATGTCATAATTCTCAACCAAATATGAATCGCATAGAGCTTAGGGATGAATACATTTTGAACTTCGAAATATTGTAAGCAAGGTAAAATTGTTCACTCACCACTTCTATATCTTCTTTTCTTCGAAGTTCGGAAAAAATCTAAGTAATAATAATACAGTCATGTGATATGATTATGAGAAGACGATTCCTCTAGAAGCGTCAGGCAGTTACGAATACCGTGACAATGTGTGTCATGTTCACCGAACTAATCTTATATCGAATTCTATTCTGCCACAGTATAAACTATTTCACTCTTACAGTCAACGTCATCTTCAATTGGTCTACTCTTTCGTATGCTTTCCAATGTAAAGCAAGGTGGAAGTCAATCTTACCTTCATATCATTTTACAATTGAGTGGAAATTATCAAATAGTTGTGGAAACGTATGTTCGTTAGACGTCTGTGTGTTGAAGACTAATTAAACGCCCCTACTTTTCATACATAAGCATCATCACGTTCATCGAATGGTGAATCGTAATAGACTTGTTCAATGATTCATTGTACCTTGAAAAACACTGATCAAATTGGTGAATAAATGCACTCACTTAAAATATCTCTGTTTTGATGAGTTGCAGTGACTGCTGCCTCTTCCAGCCATTGAAGCTTTTCTAAAAACAGGAGGTGTTGAATGATATTTAAAACGTTAATCAATAAACTTCAATGTCATATTTATCATTATACTGAATACAACATATTGACGATTCAAAAATGTGTCATAATAATTTGGTTATGTCTCAACACGTTCGTTCTCACCACACAGTGAATATATCAGCTTTCAGAAGTTTAGTCCACCTCTCATGAAACGAGTGATGACTCGCTGGAGGTAAAACTTGCCTCCCAAATATTTCTGAGAAGTTATTGTACTGGTGGTGAAAAAGATATCTAATACAAACTAGTTAATGTGTCTGTTATTGATGCGTAAATGGGGCACTTAACGACCAACAATTAACAAAATGACTAGTGAATTTTCATGCTAAAAGTTTATTATTCATGAACGTAGTGCGCAATAAGAATTTACAGAATCCTTTTACCTCTGGATGTTTTCACTGCTTCCTTCGCCTCCTTCAAATGCTTCTTTATCATTTCAATTTGAACTATAATTTCACAGTATCGAAAAGTATAAAATGTTTCATTGTGTGTTCTTCATTATGAAATAATCATATTAACGCAGTGGCTTCCGACTGTCGCAAAACAAGGCAGCTAAGCACATGACATTTTGAGTAGTTTACTAATATCAGTAACGCAAACATATTCACTAGGTGTAAACTGCATTTATACTGAATCTGTGCCCAACTTCAAAGTTCGCTTGACGTTTTCCACTATAGAACAATAATCGTTTCCATAGAATGTTGAAATTTTTTAGAATAATTTGATAAATCATTGAATGAATAATCGTGTCATTGGTTTTGCATTTTACAAGTTGTATGTATAAAGACATGCTATAATTAAAGGAGATTTTGCCTGTAAAAGACTGATGTGGCGTCTGATACTGATTAGATTTATCAGTAGAATTTAAAGAGACGCTCTTCAGCGTAAAAACATCGAAAAGCAAGGAGATGGATTTGACGTCAAAGCAAGCAAATGATTCAGCGTTTCAGTAAAACATGACAGATGTGATACGAATACGAACAAATGTAATATAAAGGAGAGAAGTAGCATAACGCAGAAGCTCTGTGCAAATGATGGTTTGAAGATAAGTTTTACATAATTTGGCGATTTGAAGATACAAAATCCGGAATAAGCATTGCTTTACCATGTCCCTTTTATTCTGTCGTTATACTGACAGTTCACTGCGTGAACATATTTCTGTCCATTATTCTGGGTGAACCGTAGTGTAAAAGGCACAGATGTTGACACGCACACACACATTTCGCACTGAAGAATAATAAAACCATGTAATACACTGTGTACTTGTTGATGATAAAATGTGCATAATAGTGTTCATTGTCATAATTTTCATCACGTAGTACTCATCAAGATGATCCTTATGTGAATAGATTTCCGATTAAAATCGACCTGCGTCATTACCCGATATGCTGATGATCACTGAATTCGGGCAGATATAGTGTTTAGATGCATAGAAACAGCTTTTCCACTCATTCAAACAACTCGAGAATTGAATTGAACAATCAACTAGCCGCTGTCTCTGGTTGTCATAAAGGATATTCATACATGGTTTATTACAAATAAATTTCACCGCATTTCAGTGTAATTGTAAATATGCATATTAATTAAATCATAGGAACTACTATTCACAAAATGACGACATATATTTCAGCGCAGTTAATAAGTTACGAAGAATAAATTCCAAACGGAAAGAAAACCAACCTTCGTCTTTCTTCAAATTGCCTGATGTCTCCGCAAAATATTTGCCTGCAATTGATACATAACACATATACGATGAACCCAACATTATCATAATCAATTTACTCAGCTGTCATCAATTCAAATAACCGGCTTGCTAGGTAAAAAGCTTTGTGAGAAAATGCTACCAAACCATCGAGTAAGTTTACTGTAACTCACATATCGATGGAAAAGAGTCGGTTCTCGACTGATTCTAATGACGAAATATGATTAAGTGAATACATGGATGTTGTTCATTTACTATCGATTATTCTCTGAACTACTCTCCATTATTCGAATGGTACGTCTACGCACAGATATTCTCATCATTCTCTGTCAAGTGTGAATGTCAGTGCTGATGAGAAAATCTTGGATATTCAAGAAGTCTCAAGATACAAATTATCATGGACATAAGTCAGCGAGGGAAATCAATGAAATGTGAAGAACACTCCTACAGATTATCGTTTTCTCCTACAACGCCATCAGTTAATGCGAGATTTAATTTAAGACTGTCAATAAGTGATGTTTTCTCGCTAAGTCAGATTTCACACTCGTGGGTGTGATTTTAAAAGGACATATCACTATTCCGATGTATTGTGGTAAATCTTGTGTGAAAATGAGTTTTTGTGGCTCTACGCTCTTCACCTAATTACAAAATATCATCATTTACTTTCTTAGAAAATATCAAGTAACCTACTGCCTTTCTGAATAGTGGAATCATAAAAATTTTACCTTCTGCAATATCGAGATTTTTTCGATTTTCCCACTTCTTTGAAATATGCAATTTCGTCTTATTGTATAATCCTTTATTAGCTGAGAAATAAATGAAAAATCACTAGGTTTAATTATTACTTATAAGCTCTGTATGATCTTGACTAAATGATTTTTTTCATCTGTGGAATGTTCCTCCAACATGATGACACTGGTAATATATCTGCATGCCTTAGTATGATTCAGCTTCAGTCATCCAACAGATTTCAGCGTTATATCATGTATCAACCACTGATTTCACCTGAGCCATGTATAACAATTGTGAATGTGACCAGTTTTTTGTAAGAGTAGGAAGCAATATGACCACATATATGCAGTCTATGAAAATAATCACCAGTTGAAACGATAATGTCATCAATCAACAGACAAATAAGCTGGAGATCTTCTGAATATCACTAAGACAATCGATCTTGGTAACAAATCACTATAAGAAACATAAAAGAGAGCAGTCTACTTTGGTAAGAAATGTCCTGATGGCGACCAGATTTATCCTCACGTAATTTCACTCAAAAATGTTTTGATAGAGAAGTGTGATTGACGTGAATGAAGAGGAAGTATGATTGAAGATTGATATAATGACTTGACACAAAACACCAGTTCAAAATCTTTAGTTCATTCCTAACAGAACTGGTCACCTAATTTCAGAGAACCAACGAATTTTCGATTAAGTGGTATTACAACTTTTAGTTAAGAAATCAATCATACCAAGAACTTTGTAATTAAAAGAGGTATCTTTTTCCAGTGCCTTTCTGTATTCATCTATAGAGAAAGAAAGCATTGTTATGGTGCATATTTAATTACTTAAATAGCCAAAAATGTGAAGCGTGTAATTGTACACTTAGATAGCAGGAATGTGTGAATTGAGTTAATTTATAAACAGATGACATTGCGTACGGTATCAAGTTTTCGCAACAATCGGACAGTCATTTTTAATTAGAATAGTTGGGCACATCTCTCTCAGCAGATATCATGGATGAATGTTGCTGGTGGGATCAGTTTGGATTGAGCGGAGACAAATGATGAGTGAATCTCACAGTATAACTGCAAATCGTCATCAATCATAGGCTAGAATAGCAGTCAACTGTTTCACTTATCCTCATGGAATATGAGAAGACTTTAGACAAAGTTGACTGTGAAGTAACTTGTTTGCCAGTATGCAACACTGCTTAGTGCTGAATACCCTGATATATCTCATTCAACAGGCATAGGATTATGCCACTTGCGTAACAGCTTTCAGCGTAAAGTTCATCAGAATCTGTTTAGGTTAAGACAAGGCCGTCTACTAGCACCTATGATATTCCTATGGTATTTTTCTGAAGTGAACCATTCGAAACATCGTTGGGAATGAGCATTTCGTAATGTAACTGAATAACTGTGGAGTTGTTCAATCATTCGACATTTGATTGGAATAAAATAGAATTATATAATCAAAGTGTCCAAACCGTGTAAATTAACCTAAGATATCAGTGGACTCTAAATAATATTCGAAATCTTATCAATGATGCATGCTGTTTTATTGCATAATGTATGCATTGAACAGGTCAATATTGAAGAGGACATTGTAGAGAAAGTGAATGATGGAGGATATTTTTTCACTACTGAATACCACGTCACTCGTGATTGAATTGACGACAAATTTTAAAATGCTTCATTAAATGGACTAGATTGCATTCGTATAGATGAGCGATAACGTCTTCTTTTGTTAGGCTTGTCAAATAAAATCAATACACACACCTCTAGTGACATCTGTCACACTCAATGATTTCAAGCTGACGTTCATTCCACAAACAGTAACATGGTGTTTTTGTCTTCAGATTCCAAATGTTTTTTCCTATGCATTCTGTTTATTATTTTAGGAAGAAATAACCCACCAGTAGAAAAATCCACCAGCTTCTTATCTTCTGCACCGATTGCTGTAAAATTGCAGACAATTGTTTGCGAAATTATTTACTTGCAATTGGAGGCATGGTAAGAAAGTAACAGTTAGAAAACCTGAAATGTATGCTGAGGGTTTGTCAGACATGAAAAGTACAATAAAGCAAAGCGAAACACGGAAGCTGTTTGTTTTTATGCCAACTTGTTTGACGCGTTATATAACCTATCCATCAGACTATACTATATCTGCGTTGAAAAGAATATTGAAAGGTTAATCAACGGCGTTCATTCTGTAGATGGCACCATGTAGTCAATATTTATGTTATAATTCAGTATATAATGTTATGTGTATAAAAAAGATGTGTACTGGAATAATTTACAAAATGTGCATATGAAATTCATTCCTCAACTGGAATAAAATGTTGCAGACTATCTGTTAAAAGAATTTTCTGTGATACTGACACCAGGAGACCACTCTCCTTAATACTAGTTTTCTTAATTTATTTGTCTAGTAATTGAATTCTTTGGCCATTTCTAATGACACTGTAATTCATTTCAATTCGCAAACCAACATATTTAACTTCAGGGAAAACTCACGCCTTTACTGAACACACGGATCATTTCAGGAACATCAAAGAATCGTATGCGTGAATGACAGGACTTACATTCGAGGAATTCCTTCGCCCATTTACTTTGATATAAGTGTTCAAGTCTCAGGATTTCTGTTTAGAGAGTAAAAAACACAAAATTAGGGTATGTCGTAATGTTGGTTTACGCAGGTTATTCGTTGAGTGAATTTCGATTTTAAGAAAACAGAAAGATTGAGAGAGGAAATATTTGCTTTTCCGTTAGATCCTCATCTAATCGCCATTTGATTGATAAATTGTTGTGTATTGTATTAAAATTGTCATATATATTATGGTGGAGCCCGAGATGAAAATCTAATTGAAAAGTAAATATTTCCTCGCTCAATCTTTCTGTTTTCTAAATGTCTAAATGAGAATTTTGACTATCGATATGATGCTGAGAATATATTTCTTATTCTCTATTTAACGTTCATCATTCTAATTCTGCACTATCTAGTACTGAAGTTAACAAATCGCTTTCTAGTTGTACTCTGCTCTTGCAGTGTTAAGTTTGAGAACAACACTTATTGGTTGTGTTATGTATGCACTGTGAGTAACCCTGAACAGTCGACAACACACTTACGTCTGTCTTGGTTATTATTGTTTTATGTAGACATATTCAGCTTCGAATCACAAGTAGGTGAAATTCCGTCCCCATGATGATAAAAGTCTTGCTTGTTTGGGTATCAGCTGATTGATGGTGGTAGAATAATAACCCGACAAATCACTGCAATTCTCAGAGAATATGCCATGCATGGAATGGTTGACTACTGTTAAAGCTACTGAAGAATAAGGCGCTGGAATAAATGAAGTTTGGTAGAATGAACCAGGAGTTTTGTGAATCAACGCATATCCACTTGACTATTCATAAGCTCATATGTTGTTCTTAACATTCATCTGATACTTTGTTTATTCGTTTTTCAGTGTTTCTTTACAAATTTTGTGTCCAACACAAAAGAAGGAACTGTATTTAATTTCACGTATGACTTTGTTTTGATGGCATTTTCGTAATCATGCCGCACTGTGCATTATCTCTTACCATTTTTTGAGTGCAATAATTTCGATTAAGGCAAGAACAATAGTTTTACCAGAGTAAAATGGTACCATCATTTATTTCGATGGCTTGTCATCAGCTGCATACAGCTTTAAGCCAACGAAATAAATGATGGTTACATTCGATTCTGCGAAAATAACTGTTCTTGCTTTAATAAAATTAATTACAGGAAATGAATGTACTATGATTTCCCTTCACAGATGGTGGTAACACTTCAGTGTCTTACTTTCCTCCAGCTTAGACTAACTAAATTGTTTACTCATCTCGACACTCGATTCAAATTAGACTTCAACCACTCATATACACACAACACACACAATTAAAACAAACGGGATTCCAGCGCCGTGCTTCTACAAGAACGGAGGGAAGAATTCTACAGACAACTGTGAGCAGTAAGGCACACCAAACCAAATAGCAACATCAGAATGCGAAAATGGAAGCAAACAAGAATAGAAGGCAATTCTTTGTAGGTCAAGAGGTTGTGGGTGAAATAAATGAGGACGGTGGACCTTTCGCATACTTCTCTGACTTCACTCAGCCATTCACTGCAGGTAGCAATACAACATTTATGAAATAACATATGTTTCATGACTTGGACAAATAAAATTTCAGATGATTCTCATCTCAATCTCAGGAATGTGATGATTAAGCATTCTGGACATAAAATCGATAAGAGAATCAGACGTGACAGATTGGCGAGTGAAGCGGAATATGTCGCAGAGAAGAAAGACCTCAGATTACTAAATCAGTTTGACGTGTAGGTGTCTTCGAAGAAACCAACACTGATGACACCAAAGTTGATAGATATAAAAGAGGAGAAACGACGTAAACTCTCAAAACAGACCACGACCTGCAAACTATCCGTAAACACCATTAACAGCAAGCACAGTACTCGCAGTGAATATCAATTCTCCGAAATAAGCAAACGTTGCGATTACATTAGATGAGTTGAGATAATCTACAGAAAGCCTTGGACCTAAATTTCGTGCTAGTTAGCACTCACCAGTCAGCAAGGCGGTTCTGCAACCAATTTGAAGGAACTCATGTCCTTTCCTTGATTCGAACCCGCGTCACTCAGAGCTGCTCCGCTAGTAACTAGTGTCCAATCAAAGTAACCACAACAGTCCTACTGGAGGTCAATCGTGAGCCCGAATAACTCAGTGGTCACGTCTCTGACTGCAGAACAAAGTGATGCTGGTTCGGTGGCCACATTACAAACCTTACTGGTTGAATTCAGTCTGCACCAAACAAAGGACTAGACACGTCACACTAGTTATTAGTGACCAACCAAAGCATCAAACTATTCGAATAACATAATGCTACTGTAGGTTGGGAAGTTAACAGAACTAGGTGGAATTCCTTCGAAGGTAACTCATCGGATATACTCACGCCACTGTTGCATTACATTTTAGATGAAGGAAAGTTGCAGGCTGGTCAGACGGATAGGCTACCTTGTCAAACTATCACAGAAAGGTGACTTATATCTCTGCAAGAATTGAACGAGGAATAATGCTTCCTCCCGATCCAAGCAAAATACTGACTCGTGTCATCCTAGCAAGATAAAATGATGGAATGAATGCAAAAATCCCCCAATAACAAGCTGGATTCAAGAAAAGCAATTCATGTACGGATCAAATCACAAGGCTATACTTCATCATCGAGGAGAGCACAGGATCGCAATCGAATATCAATCTCAACTTCAATGACCTTGAAAAGTCTTTTGACAGCATTGGAAACTACGGAGGGCAATGCTCCAAACAGCTATGTGAGTATGTCAAATTCCAAGAGATCCACAATGGAAATCTCAGTGAGGCTCATCGCAGATGGTACTCCTGGTTGTTGGCGACTGGATCGTGTGAGAGACCGTGTGAGACCAAACACTTTTGCAGAAGAATCAGCCACAAAAACACGTCTTCAGGTGAGCATAGAGAAAATAGAATCGTTGAACATAACTAACCTACCAACCATTAAACAGCAACGGCAGATACATAAGGGAAGTCAATTCTTATACTTATCCAGGAAGCACCATTTCAACTGCACGTGGTGGCAGGAGTGACGACATCGCAGTCAGCTGAGGTCAGAAAAGTAAAACTAAATTTCTCCGCTTTCAAGTCAGTAGGCGATTTTATTCTACCCAGTATAAGGGACGAGATGTGGGTCATCAACACTTATGTCAAACCAATGCTTCTACATGATTCAGAGACTTATCGTATTGGCAAAAGCATTAACAACAGACTTTTGTAAACACCTGACTTTGATGCCCTAGTAATGAAGAAAAGGAGGCTTGAAAGCACTAGCAACAAGTAAGTCTGATGGCAAACCAGTTATGCACCTTCTTCCCAACTACAATGGAATGCAAAGAGGAGGATAGTTTGGCGATGTGCATTTGAGGGCTTATTTTCCACTTGCAACTCAAGTGAGTAATAATAATACTTTGGAAAAGAAGCTGAAAACAGCTGGAAGAGCAGCAGACAACAATAAGCCTCAGATCCTATTTCCAGCAGAAATCGCTTTCGCCAGTATCCAATTTATAAAGAGAATCTTCAAATACACCCACAGATGAGTTCATGAGTTCCAGTAGCCTGCTTTAAATCACCAGACAAGGATGACAGTTCATGTGTCAGTAAGGGTAGGAAGGTGAGTGATACAAAATTTTTCGTGCCACACCCTAGACAGACGTTATTTCAAACATTAGAATCAGTCAGCGTTGTTCTGTTACCTTAGATGTTATCACGCATAGACCAAGAGGTACATTTCATCTTCTTCACATGATAACAAACAAACGAGATACTCAGTCATCTTCGAAAGGATCACAAGTGTGCATCTTTGATTCATTGGAATGCATGAAATATGACATAAACTATTGATTGAAAAAAGACCTGACCAAAAATATTCATGGCTGTCATGTATTTCAAAAAAACGGTAAAGGCTATGAAAATTGTCGTTTCAACGATTCCTATCATAAGCTGTAATTATATTTAACAAGGAAACCATAAGACCGATCAGAAATTGGTAAAATGTGTCCTCGAATAATGGTAATACGTAATGCAAGGTGTAACCTAGAAGGAGACAAATTTTATCAGTATTCCATTAGTCTTATTTTTTCTTTGTTAAATATTATTACCATTGTACAGCTTATGAAAATGAATCGTTGAAAAGAAAATTTTCTTCCCTGTTTACATCTTTTTCTTAGGACTCAAAATGAGAATAATTCGTTCATTGTTATTTATATGCAGCTATGTACAGAATTTGATGAAATTACTCACCAGGTTTTATTATTGTTTTGAAATTCCAGCGATCTTTGAATTTCTGAATTTCAGTCATACGAACTAAAACGAACAAATGCTTGAATAAAAGTTCTGACAGAATAAATGTCGACCTGCAGGCAACATGAAATCAGGCTTTCTATCTGTGTGTAACTAATTATTCATGTAGTGTGCCTGTCCTCCGTTTTCTGAAATAGATGAAGCACTATCACTCGCGCTGAAGCACCAATTTCCTGTTCTAGTTTACTAGAATGATTTTCATGTTATTACGTTTAGATGACATTACATACATCTGTTGAAATGAGAAATATATCTCCCCGAATAAAGACGGAGATAAGCAGTGTAGAAGATATTTTTGAAAGCTACTCAGTGTTGTCAGTGATTGAATTGGTTGATTAGCCGTCTACAAATCAAGGCAAGCGATATAAGTAGTAAGAGAATGTGAACACTGATCGTTACAGAACAGTCTAAAGTGAAGAGACAAACATGTAATGATTTCCGGTGAAATAAACACATACATTTATAATCCACAGCTTCACGGTATGAATCTGCGTATGCGTCCAGTGTTGAATTCAGATCATCTGAAATAGCGAAAAATATTTCCCTCGAGCTATTTAACCCTTCATTCACCAGGTCATAAGCACACACAAAAATAAAATTCTCTTGTATATAACAAATCAGATAATTGGCCGATTCAACTGTTTCTGAAGTCCACAAACAAACAATGAAAATCGCCGCAATCAAAAGTTACGCTCATCTCACGATGCATTTACTACTAAGAGGTAAAATTGTTCTTGCATATTCAATTTTGTCAAATTATGCCTACAACCTCTGAAAATAATCATTTTGGTATTCATTTTTCTACAGTGGAATGACGTTGGCGCTTGTAAAAATTATATTTGTAAAATCTCAGCGAGAGTGAAATGAAAAATTCCAACGTTTCGTTGAATGATGTTGTCCTGAGTAAGTGGTATTTACAACAGGCAATCAGTTGAATACATCTGAATGTCTTTACAACGAGTATTCACATAAATGCAGAAAATCCACCACCACAGTCTATTGTAAACTAAGACCTGTTACTGTCACAAGTAGAAGATGAGGCACACCTAGGAAAATGTTGTGACAGGACACTGTGAACGAACGCTAAACAGCAGATAGATCAAAGTCATGCTGGAAAACGGACAGTGGATTGAAAATGAAGCTAACCTTCTACTACACCATTTCAGATCAAACATACTTTTGTAAAGCGTAAAAGAGATAATCCACAAAACCGTCTCCAGTAGCTAATAATAGTCTGTCAGCAAAAAGCCTATTGCATGGAAGAGAAGGACACTGTGACAAAATGTAGCAAACTCTTACAGTGAGTATCTAACTTGTTTTCATCATCTGAAAATAAAATGGAAGACAATGGCTCAAATGAGATTCAAGTTAATGCTTTAAATAAAAAGCTCACCAATCAAAAAATATGTAAAAATTGCAATGAATGATAAAAGAAGTTTGTAGAAATAGGAAAACCTCGCCTAGTTAACTATCTCGATAGAGGGAGGGTTGAGCGTGGGGCCAGCAACCGACAACACTGAATATTCCAAACCGCTAGAGAAACTTCAACGCAGGGAAAATATATTAAGAAATACAAACACTTCAAGTAAAAAATCTTACTCTTCGCTCAAACTGAAGAGGCGAAATGTCACGAGAAGTCAGTCAGCCAGCTGATGTGTCTTCTGTCGATGAGAGGCAAGAGTAAGAGTGGTTACGTGGAATGTCCGTACAATGTACGAGACTGAGAAGGCTGTCCAGGTAGCCTAAGAGAAGCGAAGATATGGCTTAATAGAACTGGGTATCTGCGAAAGCTGATGGAATGGATGCAATATTCAACTCCAAAGGAAGGAAGGTAACAATTATCCAATGCTAAGCACAGTGCTACAAACAACGCGGAACAAGAGAAGAACGACGACTTTTACAGACAACTGCAAGCTGTAATGGACAGCATCCCAAATAGTGACATCAAAATGCCTAAGTGCGATATGAATGGGAGTCGAACTGGGAGCAAATAATACAGGGAGAGAGCTCATCCTGAATCGAGAGGCTCTCGAAGAAAGAGAACGGAAAATTATTCGCTGACGTCTGCGCTTTCACTGATTTGGTGATCAGAGGGGTGTTTGTACGAGCGCAAGCATATACGCAAAGTAACATGGATTACGGCTGTTGGGCACATAACAAACCCGAAAGACTTCATCTCAATTCTGCTCTTGAAAAAGGAAACGCAGCCAGCCTGCTGTACGCGAATTCGAGATGGGGAGCAGATATGAACTCAGACCATCATCTAATTCAAGTAACCTTCAAGGGAAAGCTGAAGTCCTTCAGGAAAACTGGAGACCGGCAACTGTTATTCAAGTTTAATATTGAGAAAGTGAATGACAATTCCACAGACCAAATCCCAGCAAATTTTGAGACAATACGAGGCATCAGTGAGGATACATGTGCGGAAGAACTTTGGAACTCTTTGAACGCGATATTTATGGAAACCTATACAACTGTTTTATGAAGACGGAAGTGACAAGAGAGAGAATGACTGTAAACAGATACCTGGAAGCTAATCGAGGATGGGAGGATGGTGAAAGAGAGGACTCATTACGAAGTTGGACAAGAGAAGAAGAAACCGAGTACAGTGTATATTGCACTGAATAAAGAAGTGAAGAAGAGTGTCAGATAAGACAAATGACTATTCTACGACATACTGGCCTGCAAGTGAAGCAGAACAGGCAGGCTGCAGACAAAAGAGACATGAGAACACCAAATTAGATAACCAAGTCGCTATCTGGGAAGAGATCAACTCAGATGATGAAACAAATAAAAGATGCTTGAGGAAACCTGACCACAAAGGAGGAGAAAACAAATCAAACAATCGCCTGATCACATTAGATGGGCTGACTCTTAAATCGACCACCACTGGCAACACGTCCAGAAAGACCAGCAAAAACACAAATGTAAGTGCCAGTGGACATTACTCCTCCGACGGAGGAAGAAATCCTGATTACGATCAAGCTACTGAATTCCAAGAAGGCTCTCGAAGCTTTGAAGAAGGCCCCAGAGATTATGGCAGATGTCCTCAATCCATTATTTAAAAAAGTTTATAAAGAAGGAAAGGCGCCTGCAGAATGGAAGAAAGGCTACCTCGTCAAGCTGCCAAAGAAGGGCGACTTACATCCCGCTCTACAAGAACTGGTATGGAATGTTGATCTTGTCCACACCAAGTAAAATACTAAGTCACATCATCCTGAAGAGAATAATGGATGCATTGGATGCAGAACTCCACCCGTACACCCGTGACGGGCTGAATTCAAGAAAGATAAATAATGTGTTGATCAAATTGCAACTCTACACATCGTCATCAAACAAAGCATAGGATGGTAGTCAAACCTCACTCTACATCAACTTCATCGACTTCGAAAAGGCCTACAACAGCGTTGTATTATTATTTACTATTGTTCCCTTGGGTTCCTAGTGGAACATAGGGCTTCAACTGCACGTCTCCACTTGCTTCAGTCTTCACAACAGCGTTGAGCGAGAAGTAATTTGGAAACAACTTCAACACTACGGCGTACAGTAGCCGTGTCGTTATGAAGCTCATTCAACAGCTGGCTAGATGACAATGTCAGGTATCAGGTGATCTACTACTGAAAATGCAGTGAGGTGTTTTAGGTGAATACAGGAGTAAGACAAGCTGGCTGCCTATTACCACCAGCGCAATTCTTAATTGCTGTGGACTGTATTATGCGTCAGACTGTTGGGGGTGAAGAGTCACGAATACCTTGGACCACCGATGAGAAGACTACTGAAGAACTGAATTTCACAGATTATATATGTCTAATGTCACACAAACTCGAAGACTTGCAAGCGAAAACCAACAAACTGTCAGAAGTTTCAGGCAGGTCACACATAAAAGATGTATGTGATGAAGATAATCAGAGAACAGCAACACCAACCAGCACCAATCACCATTAATAATAGAGGTTATCTCCTTCACTCATCTAAGAAGCACCGTTTCAACTACAGCCCAGTGGAACGGACGAAGATGTCAAAGTCAGATTCGGAAAGGCAAGATACGCCTTCATCAACCGGAATTCACTTTGGAAGTCTTCTGTACTCAGCATAAGGAAAAATGATTCGCATTTCTAACATAAGTGTGAAGTCAATTCTTCTATACGGGTCAAAAACTTAGCCAGAGTATCACGAAAAATACTTCCAACAGGTTGTAGACTTTCATCTACACCTGCCTTCACTCCACACTGAAGATCAATTGACCAGAAAGAAAAAGCAACAAGAAACTACGGGAACAAACCAAACAAGAGCGGATTAGGCAGGAAATATGCAGGAGAGATTGAAAATGGATCGAGCCTACAGTGTCGAGACCATCAAGTGACATCGAGCGCCAGGACAGTGCTCGAGTGGAATCCAAATGATGAGCTTTGAGTGGGTCGTCCAAGGGTGACATGAGGAAGATCATGGAAAAAAACAGACGAGAGAGTTCAGTCAACCGTGAACCTAGCTGAAAATGACGGCGGAAAACAGAACTAAGTAAGGACGTGTTGTTGAAGCTCTATGTTCCACTCAAATCGCAAGCTAATAATAAATAATTATATAATAAAAAGTAAAATGCACATGGATGAGAGTAGGTAATGGTCATCAAATTTAGTGACTCGCATGAATCACCAGCCTGCATGAAATTCCACCCAACACAATGAATTTGTCTAATTCTTATTATCTCAACCAATCACTTATGTTCTGGGTTCGCAAAACGCTCTTACGCATATTTTTTGTTGACTTTCTCACTACCGGTGGGCTTTCCGTGGAGACGAAGGAAAATATAACTTAAGGAATTATTCTACTCTTTAGTTGTAACAGCAGTGCATGACGTGCTATTGAGTGTACCAACATTTACTTCAAGCAAAAGAAACCTACGCTCAGTCTCAACATCTTACGAGTCTAAATGCGTACAAATCTTTACATGAACCATTGGATAAAATCCTGAATTATAAATTGAATTGCCAATTCTCAATGAGCAATAAGCCTGCATATTATACAACGAGATAAATCTATTCAACGATGACAACGAACCGCATAGAATTCTGAATAAAACTGACCCAGATCATATGGAATATTTAAGTAAAATATGACAGTGGGCGAATGAATACGTCTCAGTAAATGAAATTATGTGAGAACCCGTACTGGCGATGGAATTTACCGCGACAGAAGTTGGTTATTCTGTAGCAACTTCACTCACATTGACTGTATAGTGCAACAGTCAAATAGCTCACTAGAAGAAAACACAAAGACTCTCGCTGCAAACAGATGCAATGAAACAATTTCCTAAACCATCGACGTCACATCTTATCAGTGAGTGATTAAGAGTGTTTCTGAGTGAGTGAGGGATGGATGAAGTGCAACGAAAATCTCATTAAGGCTGTATATAATGCTGTTCACCAGCAAAATATCAAAGATTACCTTCGATATTGTAACCACAGCCAACGTCGAAAATGAAATCACAGTGGTGGTTGATAACATAAGAGAAGCGAAAATGTTATTTCAATAAATATAATGGATTCATACTGCATTTCATCATCCACTCAAAAAAGCTGTTATACAATACACTTCACTAAAATAGAATCAAATCAGTGTGACAGGATTTCATAATGAGCTGACATTGGTAAGGAAACAACGTTGTATTACTGGAAAGCTGTGTCGTTCTAGTTCAAGAGTCTTAAATAGTACGCATTCACTCAAAGCAAATATATATATCAGTGCAGTGAGAGGAAAGAATGCAATTTAATTGACATTTAAATAAAAATATATATAACGAAAAAAAACGATAACAATTTAGCTACCAATATTAGAAATGTAAAATGTGAGAAATGTGCTTGAAAATAAAACAATGTCACATGAGAAACAAATTAAAATCACATTGATGTAGTCAAAAAATGCAAGAAAAAAACAGTAAATATTATAAAACATAGTAACAGAGACAAATAAAAAAAACACACGAAGACTGTAATGAAACACCACTGCGAATCGAAACAAACACTCATAGAAAAATTAAATCCGATGTGATGTGAAGTTGAACGATCAGTTGATTAGTTATATAGATATATAACCTGCGGTATATGTCTGATCATTTCAAAGCTTTTGTTTTTCATTTTGTGCTAGGCCGAGTGAAGTCGATGGTGGTTGATGCATACTGCTGGATGGATTATGAGTGCTGAGGTGGCGGATTGACAGGAGTGGAGAGGGCGAGTGTTGGGTGCATAATGAACTCACTCACCTGGTGTTTCTGACTCGAATTGAGGGTTGTTCGTCAACTGTTCATCGTAGACATATGACTCAGTGCTTTCTGACTGATATGAGTCTGGTTGTGATTCTGTGGACAAAGAAGGAGAAGGGGTGGGCAATGGAACTTAAATAGAGAGTTATAGACTGGTAGAGGGGAACATTTCTTTGTGGGTGATGCCTGAATGTTGGAAGGAGTTAGCGGCATATTCAAGCTTGAATGATGAGTGATGTTGACTAAGGATTTTCAGTGAATGTGTTGTGTTGTTTTGTGTTAATTTTGTGTTGTTGCGTGTTGTGTGGCCCTGTGTTGTGATGTGGTGTTCTGTGACCGATTGAGTATGTCTCCGCTAGCATTTTTCACTTGAATTCATCGATTTTGCTGTGTTTGACTGAATTTGTGCTGGCTGTCATCTCTAGTTAGTTGGTCACTTGGTTAGTTATTCAGTTATTTTTTCTGTGTTGTTTGTCTGTTTGTTTGTAGGCTTTTGTATTTTGTTTGTGTGGAAGGTCGAGTGAAGTCGATGGTGGTTGATGCATACTGCTGGATGGATTATGAGCGCTGAGGTGGCGGATTGACAGGAGTGGAGAGGGCGAGTGTTGGGTGCATAATGAACTCACTCACCTGGTGTTTCTGACTCGAATTGAGGATTGTTCGTCAACTGTTCATCGTAGACATATGACTCAGTGCCTTCTGACTGATATGAGTCTGGTTGTGATTCTGTGGACAAAGAAGGAGAAGGGGTGGGCAATGGAACTTAAATAGAGAGTTATAGACTGGTAGAGGGGAACATTTCTTTTTGGGTGGAGGCTAATTATTTGAATTGTTTTTTGACATTATTCTGCCTCTCTTGAGTAATGTTTTTCTGAATTTTTTCTTTGAATTCATTTTCTTGTTCCTATTTGCATTCACATTTATCTGTTTTTGGACCCAGTGTGTTTTACCAGTCACAGATTTTTTACCCACGTGATTCCTCTTTCTGTTAAATTAATACGCCTGAAATGCAATATATTTAAGTCTTTCAGGGAGAGATTTTGTCGCGGATCAATGTTTTTCGATCCTTCTCGGTGTTTTTCCGTTTGATTTTAAGTTTTTGGTAGACATTTTATTTGATTTGTTTGTCTCATAGGTATCCTGAATTTATGAATGTTTTCCTGTTTTGTGGAGAGTTCTCTATTTCCTTTATTAATAAATTATCACATAGGTATCTCATTCAGCAATTATATCCTGTTACATGACTTGCCTTACTTCATGGAACTACTTTAATTTTAGTAGTGGATAAATATTTGTGCCAATCAAATCTGCCTTAAAATTCTTTTTATCCTGATCGTTCCATCAGATTCTTTGTGCAAAACGGGAACTGAGGAACTCATCTCATTCCTACCTGGTACTATGCAGTATTTTTCAGTTAGCCCCCATGATGACACATATCATCATTTTCTCAGCATGCAACCTCTCGCATATCACCCTGTCAACTACACCCAACTTTTTGTTTCCGATTCGAGTCTCACTGGTCTATCTGCTGCATGTCATTATTCTACAACCCTTTTCATCATGTGGACAATTTGTCTCTCTTCCTTCGAATATATTTGTTGCAGAATTGGGTCTCGGTTGGTTGGTTTTCAGATATCCTTTCGTCCAATACTTCCTGCCTATGTGTACTTCACTATGGAGAGGGAGCAGCTGTTCATGAAAATAGACAACCTGTTTTAAGCGTTTGTGGTCACTCACGCGCCAAGTCTTTAGTTCACGAAGAAGTATTTATGTGACATGAATGTTGAAGATGCTAATCTTGTCCCTAATTCTGAATGTAATATATTTACGCACTGATTACAGAGAAATGAATGTCTATGCTGCTTTTCCAATCATTCTATTCACATCCTCTTGTAGCTGAATCAATAATGTCTAGATAAGCTGAAGAATTGAATTACTTCAAATTTCCTCCGTTTATAGTGAAGGCTGCTTATTTTATTGTTGGTTAGGTACTTTTACTTCTGTCTTTTCTATCTTCATTGGGAAAGATGTCTTCGTTGTCGACCACTCAAAATAAATTGTTGGTGTTCACCTGTAGATCATCTAGTTTGTACGACATTAGACATAAATCCTCCATGAAGTCCCGATCTTCCAGAGCTTTCTTGTCGAGCCAACGTGTGCCTGTCATCTCGCAATGAAAATTATACTTTTCCAACAACAGATTTTGATTCTGATATGTGAGTGGTCATCACACATGTATATGCGTTGAACTAGAGTATTTTCCTCGTTCTAACAGTTATTCCTATCCATGTGACACACATTGGACCCCACACCATCTCTGTCAGGGGAGATTGAACCCAGGATTTTCAAGTTGACGACAGAGCTAGTCAATAACTTTTGTGTTTGATTTCAGTAATATTTAGCTTGAAATTCCTGTCAATGAACACTGTCATTGTTAGAAGATTGTTGGAAAATTTCGAACCCGGTTTTAGAGCGACTAGTTTTTGGCTTTCGATTCCGATTATGATTGTGACATTCTCATCCATATTAATTTACTGTAGTTGGTAAGATGTCTCCGAGATAAGTGAAGGAAGTAATCGCTTTCACTTATGGTATTCTACTATATGAGCACAAATTATTTGGTGAAATTGTGTTCTTCGATCTTGGTAGTTAAGTGGACACGTTTTCATATTGTGCTCAGTCCTCAATATATTGTCTTAAAAGACAATCGATGGCTCAGCAATTACACCAACTAGTTCATAAACCATAACTGTGACACTGTCACCTACGTAAGCCGCCGATCTTATCTATCACAGATCATTTGCTGAGTGTCATGCTGGCTCATGAGCTCATGTTGAGCTGTTGTGGAAGATAATATCGAATTAGGTAAGTTTAGAATTGTAGTTGTCGTCCATCTTGCATATTTACGGACAAAATTGATCTGTCAATTATTGTACAATCTTAGAATAACGTCAACTACTCTGTTTTAAAAATGCATCTATCCTTGATTATCTATCGTGTATAATCGGAATTTCTGGCCATATTCCTTCATCTCACCTTGTTTTGAAGACCTCACTACTAACACTACTTATATATATCTAAGTAGCACGCTGCACACTTTTGAAATTGTGTATTAGGAACATAATGCATGCTGAAATCTACGAATAGATGCTGTTCACATAACAAAGCAGTCGATTCATTGAGTCGTTAGTTGACTGCTGTCACAAACAGATTAGTATCGGATTCAATGTGGACATTATTTGAACTATAAAACATGAGGAGACTATACATAAATTTACGAAAACACGATAAAGTTTCAGTGGTTGTTGTCATACATAAAACTGACTATTTAAATAAAATAATGACTTTATTCAGTGATCTGGAGATGGTGGGGCATCCAGGTTATATGTTCTACGTAAGATCCCCATAAGAGACTTTCCGAATAGAGCAAGTCTGGATATGTCTACATCACCATACCATTTATCTGCTAAATGATATGTACAACTTTTACAACCGTTGCACAATAAACTGGTAAAACAAAATCTTGAAGACGGTTTCTAGATTTTCAAGAGAACTGGATACCTGAAGGTGATAGATAAGTTCAAGAGATGTATATGTGCAAAACGGTGTCTATCTAGAGGGATATATTTCAATAAATCAAGTTTAAACTTGTCAGGTTGGTCAGTTGTTAAGGATAACAAAACTACGTGCAGTTGGATGGATCTGAGAAATGGAAGACACTTCATGGGAGGCGAGGTTGGTGTTGTTGGAACCAGTTCAAGTTTTATCTTAACCCATGATTTCCATTCAGGCAGTTCGCATTACATATAACATAATTTGGTTCCGATGTGAGACCTTCTTTTTGACTTCTTATATTTATCCAGATGATTTCAAAATTGTCAAAACAAATCATTTTGCATGATTTCCTGTACGGTGTGCACCTACCTGATGTCATTTAAAGCTTTTATAGTTCAACTAGACTTCCCAATGGTTGGATAGATGACCTACAGTGTCCATTTATTATGATCATGATTTCTCACGGGGGATTGTGGAAATTACATTGGATCACTCTTCAGTGCATGTTATTTTATAACCCCAAATAGACTGTGAATTCCTTGTAAAATGGTCTTGAAAACGTAGGAATTATCGTATGTTGAATATAGACGATTAAGTTGTGATATACAAGTCGAGCTATTGCAAAATTCTGCTTCAATATTACCACTTCGATAAAGCTATCAGCCGAATTATAAGTCGAAACGTTAGTAGAAACAACGTCGTTCAGTTTTCCATTCATAGGGAATTACAAAAATCTTGTTATTATTCTTGACTGAATTAAAACTATCTTTTGTTAGCATCATAATCTTTACTCATTTTACTATTATTATTCTAAGCTTCATAATTTCTGACATCTTCTAGATTTTTCCCTAGAAAGTCATTGTTTCTTCTAGTGATGTGACTGAACTGTGATCCACTCAAGTCCTAATATTAATCCCTCATACCACTTCCACTTTAATCTATCTGAACTTCGCCTGTAAAATCTCAAGTTATATATAAACAAATTAATCATCTTTCCTCAGCAAGCAAGCGATTTTCCGTTGTCAAATTGGCCAATTGGTAAAGATAACAAGATAACCATGTGAAGGTTGTTGGATTTGATAAGCGTGTAAAATTATTAACGCAGCGTGTGTTTACATAAGGAAATTGCTTATTGCATTCTTGATATAAAAATAAAACTTGTGCACTGTGGAAGAGTGTATTTACATTATGGAATTATTGCATTCTTCTTTATTTTATGAGATATCATATTTCTAATGCCCAAATTTTTTCAAACCGTTAAGAGCGAACTAAGTTTGGTCATATATAACAATAACCTCAGTAATTATGTGTTGGGAGGAAGTGAACTGTGACTGAATAAGATGTTTGCATTTGTTTATTCTCATGCTATTTCTGCACTCCACTTCCAAGTTTTGCGCACCCATGAACACATACACTATATTCATGAAATCTCTGTATCATGACACATACGTATACACCGCTTAATTTGGCTTCAATGACAAAGTGAAAATTTTGATTGCATATTGCCCGAGTATGATTCCGAAAACAAAATGGTAAAACACATTCGACTTTTGAACACCCAACTACTGGAAGAAGATTTCACATACATTTCCACTGTTTTCGGATTTTTCTCTACATTTATAAAATCGCATTGAACAGCTGACATAGCCGATATAGTACATGTGTATGATGGAGAAGGTTTGTAGCTCAGGTGAGTGATTTTGATTTGTTGTGCTCTCTGAGATAGTTGGTGGTTTATTTCCGAAGCTTACATTGTCCTAATAGGCAACACCTTTAGCGCATACTGTAATCTGAAGTGAGCTTTAAGATTTCTCCACGAGTTTATTAGTCACCTCTCTTGGTAACCTTGAGCATGAGCTTCGCAAATAAACCACCATCCATCTCAGAGAACACAATAACATCAAAAAACTACATCTTTATTCAATGCAACATTTCACTTCCAACTGTTAATCGAATACTCGTCTCAAAAAATTGGAAAAACACTCAAGGCAAGAAATGAAATTATCAAGTTCACAATAACTCACCAACACTCCCGACGACGACCAACGATGCAATCCAGATCAAGTAGACAATCTTCATCTTGCTGATTGACTTCCTTCTCAACTGCCTCATCTTTTATAGCATAAGATGTCAGTCTCCAGCGAATCAGAAACATTGTGGGCGGTGAGTGA